TGACAGGACACATATCAGATTGTTAATGAGTTGACTTAGCTGGGAGATGCTATGGAAGCAGGTGAAAGGGGAACAGGAAGTCACCTAAAAACACTACAGTATCAGAAGCCTGACTACATTTATGCATTTTTGTATGTGTACAATATCTTTTCAGAGTAACTGGCACTGATGGAGGTATAAACTGAAGTGTGCGTGTTACAGAATATATACAAACTTTAATGAAAGAATCACTAGGGACACAGCAGTTGCAAAAATAAAATGTAGACCAGTCATGTTCATATTTGTGTTTGTAGGGCATAAATTGGAATTGTAAAAGAAATGAAGTTAGATATTTGACTATGAAAGTCCAGATATCTAGAAAAAAATCTATGTGATGCATTGAAAATTTTTTTCACCTAGTTTCACTTGTAATGAGTATACAGAAAATAAACGAACTAGAAATTACCATTTTTCCATCAAGCATGGGAGGCTAGCTATAGGTTTTGAGTGGTTCACAGATTGAGGGCTTAAGCAGCTCCCTACTTAATCATATTTTAGCAAATGGCTATTTCAGAAAATGTTTAAACTGCAAACTACCCCGGAAGTAATTTGTCTTAAGTTATGCATCCCATCCTGAATCTGTTTAAGTGTGAGCTTCTGCCTTGACTTTTCGGATTGTTTTTTTGAGGGTAGACACAGGGATAAGAGACAGTGGGGGTGGGGGGGCCTTGCCTTGTGACTGATTGGGTGAGAAGAGCTGTACTCTGCTGTAGAGGGTTTCACCATCCTCTGCTGCTGCCCTTTTGAATTGACTGGAAACTAGGAAATCCTTTGTCCATGATTCATCTGGAGGCCTCAGTCGACTTTCAAAGTAAAAGTTTGCATTTCTTGAACTTTCTACATCCGAGTTGTTACAAGACCCAGAAAAGGGCAATACAGTAGTAAAAGGATTTAGATATTCACTGGAAAAAGATTTTAATCCTTATTTAAGAAGCAGCTGATGCAAATCAAAACACTGATACACATGATTAGAATGAAAATGATTTCCATGTTTATGTTTGTCAGCAATATAGTTATTTACAAATAACCCATATGAAAATGTAAAAAAGCATGTTACATCTTCACATGCCATCTGTATTGACTGAATAAAGCTTAGTGACATTATTTGCAAATCAGTAGTTAATTGTACATAGACATTTTGTGCGTTAAAAAGGAAATGTACATAATTTAAAATAAATTACATTACACAATTTACAAAGTAATATTAACAAAAATTCTTAGACAGCTGCCTCCTTATTTAAACAAAATAAATATTCAGGTAGTTAAATTAACATAAAATACATATTTAGGGAACAATTTATAGAAAGACAGATTGCAAATTTAATAAAGTTATATTTTACAGTGATAGATACTGATCTCTTCAAATCTCTGTGATAGAAATGGGAGAAAAAAGTACCAGAAAGAGGGAATCTAAATGTTTACTTTCTAAAAATAAACACAAACAGATTTCTGAAAAATAGTTGGGGAAAGTTTAATATTAGGTAATCTAGAAACTATGTGTTAAAAACAGAATAAATCTACAAAACACAACAATAAGACTGACAGTTACATCCTAAATAATGTAGAGATTTTTGATCACTGAGAGATCTGACTTGGTAGAAACACAAAAAAATAAAAATGCAAAATTAACTGTTTACTATTTGTTTTATTCATTTAATAATCTAGACATAACCATTTTTCAGTGTCCCTGCTAGATATAGGATTATCATAACACACTGCACACCATCCTTTTTATAAAAGAATAACCGTTTGCTTGGCCCACACACTGGTTCTGATGCCCGAAATCCTGTCTTGCAGCCAGGGCTGCCTGAGGGCAGGACCAGCGGAGACTCTTATTCCCAGAACAGCCAGATGTGGTTCTCACAACAAAACTAGTCCCAAGAAATATTACATTGCGACAAGATTCCTCACAGATTTGCTCAAGGACTACTGTTTTTTCAACACTCTCAATCTTAGAGCAGAAATAGAAGAGGAACCCACACTAGAATTAGGTATTATTTTTACAAATAGTGAGACCAGATCATTGGGGAATCGTGCTTCGCATGTGCTATTCAGACCCACATCAGCTTTAGAACAGACTCGTCCTTCTGTTTGGTACTGAAAGGTACAGGCCTCCCTCACTGTCTTGTGGTGTGGAATGTGAACGAAGACTCCAGGTGGAGACAGGAGGATATGGGGTAATCTAAAGCAAGTGTAGGCATGGACATTTTTACAGAAAAGGGCTTTTTTTTTCTTGCATGGCTTCCACATTTTTCCTTCCCCCTTTATTCATTTCTTTGACTAGTGAGTTTGGTGTGTGTCAGGATATTTACACTCTGAGTGAGTGACACTTTGATTCTAATAGGGAAGGAAATACAGGAATTCTCTACTTTTTTTTTTTTTTTAAATTAGGCATATTGAGAGGAAAGTGGTTCTGAGGGAAGTAGATAAGAATAGCTATTCCCCTCCCAAATTTTTAGAAGGAAGAGGAAGAATAAGATTTTGATGAAATTCCAGTAAAATATTTAACTCATTATATTGAGAGTAGAACGAGACCAAGCAGAGAAAATAATCAGAAAGGAGGAAAGATAGAGGTGGTTGGGGGAGGTAAATAAATATGTGAGAGGCGTACTCAATTCCTGTAGAAGTAAGACGTCAGTTTCTCTTGAAATGCCCAGGAACTTAACAGGGGTCTGATTAAGCTACAATGACCACTGCCACCTACCTCAGGGTAGTGCGGGGAAAAATCAAGCTCCTAACACCATGGCCTAAAAACATGTATGTTACATATGGAAAAATACAAACCCCATCTAAAACCAAACCTAGAGTAAAAGTCAACATGTTTAAGTGCTATCTTTACTCATTAAATATTTTTTCCTTCTTTTGGACGTCTTAAGTATCTATGTATACAAAAGCCATTACTAACTTTTTTTTACAGTGCCAAGCAGAGTGTCTTACATGTCAATACATATTTGCCTTAAGTAATTTGTGCTTTGTTATAAGTAATGAAAAACATGCTTTTATGCACTCTTTTTTAATTCACTTAAGCTACACCATAGTGTCCTCAAAAAAAAAAGCTTTGAAATGAAGATTATAGTTAATATATTGGATGAGGTACTGAGAATAAGCAAATCAGCCCCTTTCAAAAGAGATCAGTTAGTCTTCTTCTATATGGTTTCTATTGAAATAGTCAAGCAAAATCATATAATACTGTGTTAAACTTGTTCCACCCTTTTCTTTTTAAAACCAGTAAGACGTTCATACTAGGGAACAGCAGTTCTACATCTTTTTAGCCTCACAGACCATTTCCATAAGGCAAAAGTGTCAATAGAAAAGTTTCTACTATATTCCCCTCCCAAATTTTTAGAAGGAACAGGAAGAATAAGATTTTGATAAAATTCCAGTAAAATATTTAACTCATTATTGACTTATGCCAGAAACAAAAATAAGGCCATTTTCATATTATAAACATGAATATAATAAACTTCCATTTGTCCAAAATAGCCAGATTGCTACATTCTTTTCACCTTTCTACCAAGAGGTTGTCCAGTGTTTATTTATTCTAACAGTGATCTTCCAATATGTACTCTAATATTAGGTAATGTTAAACCTAATTTCTTCTCTCTCTCTCTCTCTCTCTCTCTCTCTCTCTCTCTCTCTCTC